TTTGTGGTACAATTTTTATACGTTCTTTTGTTCAGGCTGGTTTGATTGGTTGAGTTCAGGGGATTGAGTCTCTAAAGTTAGTTTGGAAAATGAGTCTCATGTGTTTGATGGATTTGAGAGACTTGGTGCTACTTTTTTGTATGTTTGTGCTTTAGTGCTTTTAGCTTATTGCTTATGGTAATAAGCTTCCACTGCACGACAAATGTAACCTCCATTATAGCCAGCTCATATTCAGTACATAATCGTGTTAAAATTTGCTATTGTTTGAAATGATCAGTTGGATATATATAAATTAGAGAAAATTTTTAAACAATCTATAATTCGTGCACAATTAAAGTAATAATAAGAGTAAAGTGTGTTATTTAACTTAATAATAGCAAAGAGTAAAGCTTGACATTAATTTTCTTTCGTGATACTACGAAGAACAACGTAATACACATGCACTTTACATACACGACAACCATCCTTCTGCATGATAGAAGCCATCCCAGCTTATATAATATTATTCAAAAACGATAAGAATCTAATAGTTACGGAACACTATAACCAAGACACGCGAATAGCTTCTCGCCTTTATTGTTGAAATTGATATTATATGAAAATGACTAATTTTAGACTCGTGCGTGCACATACGAACATTACTTTTAAGCCTTAACATGGAAGCAACAAAATTATGTGTAAATCAACTGAATAGGCATAATATACGTCAACAACTGCAACATACGCTAGAATATAAGCTGCAACAACTTATGACAAATTTTCACTGTAGTTTTACACCGGGTGTTAGTCCGCCGTGCGTGCACGGCGTGAACCAAACTAGTATATATATATATATAAATATTTATGTTCCAGCCACTAACCAACCTTACGAAGAAGGCCGTGAGGGTTATCGAGGAGAGTTATTATTATTATTTGTGCTAGATGCCTAAATGTTATTAAATGTCTAAATGTATATTATTATTATCAAATAAATGTTATTTGTGTTTGTATTATATATAAGTATTATATATTAATAATTATTGTAGTATTTTATTTATTTATATATATATAAATATTTATGTTCCAGCCACTAACCAACCTTACGAAGGTTGGTTAATGACGGGCTATCTTTGATATGGAACGAACCCTTACGTGACTTGTATACATTTGTGTTCTTCTTTGAAGTTTTCGTACTAGTGTGCATATGGAACCAACACCAAAGACTGTTACGTGTAGGACCATTGCTCAACATTTTTTCACCTAAGACCGACATGACTCCTGCAAGACCGATCCACAATTCCACAGTCACATGAATCATGTGACTAATATATCAAATTCAGCCCAAACTGAACGGCTTTTAAACCGGCACCTACATAGTACAAAATAATACTGACAATCACAAAAAAGAATAAAATAATGATGAAGATGATAATAATAATAATAATAATAATAATAATAATAATAATAATAATAATAATAATATAATAATAATAATAATAATAATAATAATAATAATAATAAACAAAAACAAAGAATATACGAACAGGAAGCAGGCAGAATAAACAGAGACCGTAATATAAGATTGCATAGTTTTTTCCCCTTCTCTCTCTGATTCTTTACCACTACACATTTTGTACACCTCACTAACCCGATCTATTCCCCATTTTTCTACATTTCCTACAGGCTTCTAAATCGTACAACTAAAACTGATGGTAAAAAACAACAAATATTTGGTCAGTGATTCACTGAACCATTAACAGGTGAAAAGCAAGGTTTTACTGTTTGTTCGATAACAAAGTGGTCAACAATCCTTACAGTCTTGACAGGATCCTGTTGCGAAGAAACCGATCGCCATTTGCTCGGAAACTTTCTTCTGTGGCTGAAATTTTGCGGCAGCTTTGACTCGCCTTCCCAACTCGGGTCCAACTTCCACTCTTTCGGTACCTACATCGATGCATGTGGTATCCCTACTTTAGAAAGCTTAAAAGGGGCTTTTAAAACCAACAAAAAAGGCATTCTAGCAACTGCAGCATATTGGGCAATAAACATAAAAACACCCTTGATGTTTGTGCCAATCACAAAAGAACACCAAAGGTTTATGCAAGCAACAAATTTCATGCCACCAGAAAAGGTAAAGTAACAAAAGAATTCAAAACTCGTCAAAATTCCGGCATAAAGAGCTTCACAGTTCCAACCCATTTTCAGGAAAATACAAACATTTCAAGAGTCCGAACATATCATCACGAAATACTACACCAATACATATTTCAATCAAAATTACAAAGGTAATAACAACTAATAAAATAAAATAAAATAAAATAAAATAAAAGACCAACCTTATCAACTGCAAGGGTGAAAACCTCAAGATTCCCTTTGCGGTTGATATGAAACCGAGTAAACGATTTGTAGTTAGCAATCCTGAGGGACGAGAAAGCCTCATCAAAGTGGATGTGAAGCCAGTTGATGCACGCATAAAGATAGCTTCCAAAAACCAAAGAAACTATAGGAGTCGAGAAAACCCAGAAATAAAGGAAGACAGAAGCATAATAAATCATGAGCCCCCCTCGGGAAACAGAATCCATCCCATTCTTGCATATATTACTTCTGCTAACAGCCATGACCTGAAATACACAATAAATAAATCAAAACTGGAAAAACAAAACCAACTCGATTTAGTCAAATTGAAAAGTGGTCATTTAGCACTTTTTTTTTTTTTTACCTCCGGGACATCAAATGCGGACATCAGGTACTTAATGCATGCAGGATAAAGCCCGAACGTCCATTGCTCAATACGTGCTCGAAGGCCAGTTGGGTCAGGAAAATGCTCGCTTTCCACAGATCTATACCATTCGTAAAGTGTATGGTAACCTGAGATGATGAAAACCAAAATGAATTGCTTCACCTAGCAGGCTATTGTTATAACCAAAAATGTTAATGAAAAATATAGTCAAATAATTGAAATATGGTAGAAAAATAATTTATTCTACTAAAGAACACAAGAAGTATCCAGTTGACTGTACGTAGCACATGTAAGAAGCTTGAACTAGCACAGAGGCTATAGAAGGATTAGCAATGATACATAACAAGATGCAAGAAGACAAACCAAAAAAATAAAAAAATAAAAAAAAATAAAAAAAAAAATAAAATAAAAATAAAAATAAAAAATAAAATTAGAAGGGTACATTTTCTTCCATCTACCAACGGATTACAGACACTATCACAGCATTGATATATTCTTAAAAAGAGGAAATCTAGAAATCGAATCACTATCACATAAGATCAGCAAGAGAATAGATAGTAACCCTGGTAATTTAAAAATACAAATAAAAAAATGAGGTCGGAGAAATAGCAGCAATAATGCTGTTTTAGTGTTTTCTTTTTTTAACCGGAGACTTTCAAACTACAAAAACATAAACGTGGTGAAGACGGAAATTTTAAAGTTGACGTCAAACATCCAACTAAACTGCATACAGAATGTGTAGTCAAAGATCAAAATAAGAATAAGTTTGATAACAAAGGTGTAAGATATAGATTTGGAGAAGAGGGTGCGGTCCCATGCAGATGAAGTGCACCATAAGAGATAAGAGGGTGAGCCTAGATGCATCGTAGTGAGATTTCATCCCAAAACCAATTGGTTGATGGGAGGAGTAGCCTACTAGGGCTAATAAACTAGGCTCATTTTCCCTATAAAATCAATGTGGGACAACTCACAAGTGATATTCCAACAAAGACAGCTACAAACAGATCCAAAAATAGAAGGTAATAATATAAGTCCAACATCAAGTATTACAAAAACATCATATCCCATCTACCCAAACAAATCACCTGAAGTAGCCAACAATTTATGTCTGATGCAAGTCTCGATGCCCAGTTCCAAGAGCAGCATTAAAATCAAGGCAGCAGATAAGTGTGCAAGAACATGGAGAACACCAATTATGACTTTCCACTTTCGAGACACTTTTGACGGAACAAAGGCTACAGCGGTAACTAACAAAATGAAAGCACCGGTCAAGGATACATATGAGCGACCAAGCATGTACATGAAAGCATCCCAAACCGTGCCAAAAAGGCTCTTCATGTGACCAGAAAATGTATTATCCTGTAAGATGTGATCTAGCTTGCACTAGACCACGAGAAAGATCATTAGTTATACAACAACAACAACAACAACATACCCAGTATATTCCCAATTGGTTGGGGTCGGGAGGTCAGTTGTACGCAGACCTTACCCTAGTAATTATACAATGAGGCTGTTTCTGTAGCGACCCAAGGTGCATTGCGTCGTTTGATATATTTTTTTCTAGAAACTTCACAAATAGAAGAAGCACTAGAATTTAATTGAGTCATTTTGATCTAGTCCATTATTGGCCCTATGCCAGGAGAACTACCAACAATGACTCTCTCAGGATTCTCAAGTTTCCATCACATGTATGGATAATTACAAAGAACCACTTCAGAGGTTTTACCCTGATTACAAGGCTACAATTATCTTCTAAATTATAGATACTTCCTTAAAGTTTTACTATCGCGCCCCTTAAGGTTTGTTTTTTACCCTAACAACCTCTCATTTGAAGGTGCATAACGTACACACAGAACAAAGAGTCATTGAATAAATATAAAAAAGATAAAATTAGGCCAAACCAGATTAGTTGTTGCAATAACCGGAAAAAAAGTAACTAGCATACTCCACATTGGGATTGATAAATCAGACTACTCTTTTCTATTGCAAATAACAAGCAAAATATTTACCTGTGGAAACATGGAAAAGGCCAAGACGAAGTATATGATGCCACCAATGAAATCAAACTGCCAATTTTTCTTTCGAAACTTCAAAATATTTCCTAAAGCAATCTGCATTCAGAAAAAAATAAAATAAATAAATAATAGATATATCAACATGAAGTCATGTTCAACATAATCAGTATAAATACTGAATTATTTAGCAAAGTTCACATATTATAAGAAATAAAGTGTACCCTACTCGAGTCTTCAAAAGAAGGGTATGATGCCTTGCTTTCATAGGATGTCCCATATAAGCTGCTGAAATTTCTAAAGACATGAGTCGGGTGCAAAAAGGCCCCACCACAGCCATTAACAAGCAGATGCTGCACATATACGGGCTTCTCAGAGGGAACGTATGAATGGCGCATGTAATGATGCAAGTCCCCAGCTATTCGGAGCTTACATCTTCCTCTTAGATGGTCACATATCAGGTGCGACACGTTTTTCCCGGTCACATCATTCCAGTACCAATCGAGAAGCCAATTCGGTTCATGTGTCATAATGATCACAGAATCATTTTCACCCACCTGAAAAACGTATGTATTAATAGAAAAATGGAAGTGTAGAGGGATAAGAAAGAAAGATATGTGCATCAAGGAAGACAATAAATACGATATAACTCCTAAAATAGAACGACAACTATGGAGCGTAATTTTATACATATGTTTCTTCTGCATAACGTCATTTTATAAAAATTACAGGAGAGCACTAAGAGAAAATAATTATGACTAAACTCCTAATGGACACAACTCATGAACTCCTCTAACAGTCGAGCATTCTCAGCAAACAGTTGCAGTGGTGAAATTAAGTCACTTGATTTCGTCCTTGCCCTTAGAGACATTGAAACAGACCCAACCAAGGTGAAACCCTAAACTAAACCTTTATTGGAAAAAACACAGAAATGAGAAAACCAGATCTTGCTCTTAACTAAGCCCAAGACTAGCAATAGGATTACTTCATTCAGCAGGTACAACCTGATACCAGTGGTTTCAGGGGGCTGACACTGTTGGCAATCTCTTCCTTTTTCGTTAACTATTATCTGTTTTTTGCTTTGTATTTTTTTTCCATTTTCTTTTGTTTCTGGAAATCGTCTCTGGCAGACTCAATTTTCTGGTATTCTCTATCATCGTTTCATATTTTCTGGAATAACCTGATCTCCTACCTTTTCATTTTTTTTCTAAAACAAGGTCCGGCGGGGGACTGAAATTTGATTTTTTTTTTCCCAATCATTTCTTGTTCGGGACTTATAATTACAAGGGTAAGGTCTGCGTACAACTGACCCCCCAGACCCCAACCTGTTTGGGAATATACTGGGTATGTTGATGATGATGCTGATGTATTTCTTGTTCAGGACTTCTGTATTCCCTTTGATATAAATATATATAATAATTTTTTGTACTGAAGCGCCTTGCTTCAATGAAACTAGCACCTCACAACTTTTTAATTACTGATATCAGCTAAATACAAAACTCAGCACCATACCTTGTCTTTAATTAATTCTGAGAAGAACTTGAATTGAAAGACATCGATATCACAATGGAGAGCAAGATCGAGACCAAAAACCCACCATCCTTTTGGCAGATGAAGGGCAAAATAACTTTTCTTTTGTGGCATAAACCAACCACCCAACCAGCTCTTGTGACAAATATACCGCATGAATGTCTGAAGCCCGTCGAACCAATCTATAAAATCAATGAAATCTATTGCATCACAAAAAAACTATACAAGAAGGAAGGCAAAACAAACATTCAACTGAAAACACACACAAACAAACAACAGGTATGCAAAAGCCAAAGGAAGTAAAACTAAACATAGGAACTAAGACGAACCATGATTTCCGGGTATGACGAAGGCCTGTGGGCCCTCATATTGCTTGAGTGCTGATACTCCGCTTGGCAATTCAGGTTTATTTACTGCTATATGCTCCTCCTTGTACCAAACAGGAGGCTGTAGAGCATATTCGAAAGGACGAAAAAGGCGTCTCTCATATGTAAAAGCAGATGGATTAGGATACCTGAGAAAGGAAAAATACTGAGTCCAGTATATATGCCACCATGTAAAGTAATATAATTAATCCAGCAGGTCAGACCATTATACAAGCAATAGAAAATCAACCAAAACAATAAAACAAGCTTGTTTGATCAACAAACACCTGCACATATCAGATTTGAACTTTCCCTCAGGCCACTACCTGAATAAGTTTGTCCTCATATTTTAATTTTTTGAACCTCAATAAAATACAGATATAAGAAAAGTTTCCAATTACTCAGGTAAAATTGTAAAAGCGAGCAATATGGCTGATTGAAACTTAAAGTGATTGTACTTCAATGTAATCACAGTAATTATACGAATAACCAAGTAATCCTAAGTAAACATCACAAAGAAGTACTAACATAGCAGTTCTAGAAAGTGGTTGCTCTGATATGAACTGTTTCCAGACACAAAACTTCAGTAACTTTTATACACTGGACAAAACCAAATCACACCAAACAGGGCATAAATGAAGCTATCAATGGCCATAACCATTGAACAAGGTAGATATATTATAAACAAACTCAAAAGCAGCCAGCGAACAAGGCATAATTAAACAGCTGTTAATCGTTATCAATTTGCTCCTAGAGCAGGTCTTTTTATGACGCTTGTGCACCCCAAGTATTCTACATAACAGGTAATAACGTCGTATATTACTGCCTTTTATTGACACACAACAACTAGTTTGTCACATGTCAGAACTTTCAATGAACACAGCAGACCTACAAAATGAATCCAATAAAACATTAATGGCTTACGCAAGATCACCCCCAATAAGAAGCAGGTCACCACGTGGGAGTGTCACCAGAGAATCATTAGCCCGAATTCTAAGCGATGGTTGAGCAAGAAGTCGTGCCACACTGTATGAAGAATTTCCACCATCACCAGTATCAGCCATAAAGTCAAACCATAATTCATCTTGTTCATTAAACTGATCGTACAAAAGATCCCCACCATTTGCTGCATCTTCAGCCCTGCTCATTGCTGCCTAAAAAACATTTATAGGATATAACAGAAGATAGTACCCAAAAATCAGTATAAAATCATTGCATAAAATATTAAAATTACAAAACATTTTTCAAATTGAATTTGAAGTTCTAACAGAACCAATGTAACATTAAATCATATCAGGGAGAAAAATAGTTATTCGATAACACATTTGGATATCAAAAATGAAAAAGGAAATAATATTTCTACCATCACTAGATTCTTGAACAAAATGACTCATTTAGGGTATCTAATCATAACCTAATAGAAGAAATATTGATTCATGTTACTAAACATTATGCATACACACATGAAATATTAGTCATACCTGCATCATACGCATGTCAAAACGTCCAACAAACACAGTCACTGATACCAGCAGATCAAATACTGTCTTAAATAAATCAGCCGATGTCCTACATCATAACATCAAAAAGATAAATTACGATTTTGAAGATTAAGCGAGGTGTATATGTGCTTCAGAGAAAAATGAGAAGAAAAGTTACCCCGAGTACCAAGGAACCATATCCAAAAAGTCAGGCTTCATTTGCTTTTTCTTCATCTTCTCATGCTCTTTTTGTGACACAGGGTGTGTAAGAGCCCAACTATTAATGTTCAACACATGAAAAACAGCATATTATTCGACTGAAAATTGATACACCACAAAATAGTGTTATGAGAGACACCGGTTGAAAACTCACACACAAAACAATATGGAGCTATTCTTAGTTTTAGTGTGTTTCTAAAATCTACGGGAACCACCCTGCTGTCTGGTTTAGCCTTAAATTTAAGGAGCTATTCTTAGTTTTAGTGTCAACTGGTTTTTAGAAAAAAAACAATGTTATTTTCATAATGAATAAAATGTCAACCGAATCAAAACTATGTTTTTTTTTTCTTTTGTGGTAATAATCCAAACTTGTGGATGATAATTATACTTTCATTTAAACAAAACATGGCTAATTGGTCAAATTAAGCCACACTTCATGCTTAACGCCCTTCCATGGACCGTGCTAAACCATAAATCTAAGGCAACCAGTTTGAAGTGGCCATAAGCTGACACTCACCCTGTTGATCTTTCCACAACATAATTGGCAATGTAGAGGCCTATAAAAGTAGCCCATAATGAATATATGGGTGAGATCTCAGCTGGCGATTCTGCACACGGGCCACCACTGCAAGTCAGCTGAAAAATGTGAAAACACAACGAACAGAAGCGTAAGTACATTAGTCATGTCAATAAGAAGGAAAAAGAAAAGAACACTTATTTACAAACAGCCAAACAAAAACAATACCTCGCCATAAATCACCCACTTGGACAAAAATGGATAATCAGTAGCAGAACCAACAGGGGCGAACCAAGACGAGCAAACCTGATCCTTAAACTCATTCATGCGAACAAATTTCGCAAGCCATGAATTACGCTCTTCCTTGTTCCACAGCGTATACCAACCCGAGTGCTTCCTTTCAAATGTCTTCTCTCTCGTTATAGCACGGTTGCCACAATGGCTATAAAATACACAACATGCTACACTTATAACCTACACACATAACGACAAAAATAAGAACTGATGATATCATTTTTTTAGACAGGGCGCATTTCATGGGACTTACAGCACAATTTTGAAGAATTGTCAGAACGGCTGGTCTCCTCCCGGCCACACGGGCAACAAGGCCAATATACCAGAGGCCAATGAATACAATGTGAAACATGAGAAGAAACAATATGGATGATATATAAATGGATAAAAACAGAGAGAGGTTCATCCTCATGTCAACTCCCATCGATTGAAAACTAGGTAGATGATATAAAGCAGCCACAAGAATCCATGCTATGTACCTGAAAGGCAAAGCACACAATATTATTAACAAAACACCTAAATAAATAGATAGTGATCGTACTTTAAGGAAAAAAATGTACCTACCAGCGACTGAAGTTAGAATAGCTTGGCTTGATTGTTTTCCCGATAAATGGAGAAGAAAAGAAATAGAAAAACCCGAGCAAACAAGCATACATCGACCACCACTTTACGTTGCTGTCTAATTTCTGAACGAGAGTGTGCATGTTATCTGATGATATGAAGAATAGGCAACCTATAAAAACAGCAATAAGAGCATGGCGCGAGTGCTCGTGCGGATACGGGTATGTGTGAGTGAAGATAGTCCTAACTGTCTCTATATTCAGAGTATCTAGTAAACCAGCAGGCTGTTTGTTAGATCCCATGATACCCTCTCGAACCATAATTCAATAATCCTGATTCAGAAATTCTTGGTCTTTTCTTTTGCAGGATACACACGTCCACAACCAAGACAGTTTAATCGAATCCTGTGAGAAAATTTCAATGAGAAGTTAGCCGAACAGGAATGAAACGTATCATGTATGCATACTAAATGGTACACTAAACAAGTTCAATTTCATACAGAATATCACAAAATAAGCATTCACTTAATTATGCTGATTAATACTCGATCAAATCCAAGAAACTAGATTCTAAGAATTTTTATTTCTGGAACACTCAATTCAATTAATGTAACATAAATACTAAAATAGAAGATATACTAATAATCTCAAAATAAATCAATCAAAAGTTAAAATCAGCCACACTGGAAGAAGTACATTTATGGAAAGTAAGAGCAAAAACTGAACTTAAATCAATTAAGCTCTACTAGCCATAAACCGAAAACAAGTGGTGACACCATAAAGCACACAGAATCAGAAGTCCTCGATTAAATCACTCAAGTAGGATTTGCTACACATAATATTGGCTAAAAATTAAAAATCAAATACAAATTAAATTCTCTTTTTTTTTTCGAACACCCGGCAATCGAGAAATAGCAGTTAAAGAAAAAAAAAAAGCCTCAACATTTTTCAAGGTATGAATCAAACTTTACAAGTTTAATCTGTTAATTATACGATGATGGAAAGACAGATTGTACATGAGCCCTCGAGAAAAATTTACCTTAATAAATGGTCGGACCACAAAAGAAGAGAAGTCCAGAAATATGCTTCTCTGTTTATATAAGAAAAAGGAAAACACGAGGGGAGGAGGGTAAGAAATTGGAGTTTGGCGAATTTTCCCACTTCCCAGAATGTCGTTTAATTTAAGGAACCCATTTGAATGGCATATTCCCCACAAAGCCACAACATATGCTGCTCACGGTCGGTTGACTTTTCAAACCACGAAACACAAGGGAGGGGATATTGAGAATTTTATTATTGACAAAAAAAAAAAAAAAATTAAAATCTTTTTCACCCCGTTATAAATCTATTTTTTCTTTTACACATCGTCTCATCAAATAACTTCTTTTACACTCCAAAACTCACGAAATGCTATGCAATATTACACTCGCATGTCCAAATGAACCAGCGCATATCCAAGCAGACGCATAATTTTTGACTATGCGAAAACATTTCGCATTTTTGTAATCGCATATCCACATCAAACGCATAATTTACAAATATGCGAACATCTTTCGCAGTTTTAAGAATCGCATATCAAAATCGATAATTTACGATGATTATGCGCCTTATTTCGCAGGGCTATATCGACTTTGCAAATTTATGACTGTGCGAAAACTTTTCGCATATAATTCGCATTATTTGTTGAATTCGCATTCTGGAAATTGCATATCCAAGTCAATCGCATAATTTACTAGTATGCGAAAAACTTTCGCATATATCCACTGGATAATTGACAATGATGCGACATTTTTTCGCTCGCATATTGAAGAGTCGCATAACAAAATCGAATAAATCATAATTTAATTGACGATTACGCGCCATTTTTTCGCATCGTCATGGCAATTTTATGACTATTCGGAATTTGATCACATATCTGTCGCATAAGTTACGCACCTCATTAATTGACTGCTTTTTCACAGGTGAGGATTTTGTCTGTGCATTTATCATGCAGGCAAAAAAACAATGATCTCTAACAATTCAACGTCTGCACCATTCTTCTCTACTGCAATTTTCTATTTCTTTCGTTTTAATTCCTTTTGTTGCTCACTTATTTGAATGGCTAGCACCTATGTTAGAGTATGCGTGAGCTATGGTGGTACGTTTTCTGGGGGTTCATATCTTGGTGGAGTGGCAGAGCTGATGAGAATAAATTACGGCCGACAAATGTATTCTGAAGTAGTTTCTCGTGTTCAAGCATTATTGAAGGCCGATCCTTGTAATTTTGAGTACATATTGTGGGCAGTATTTGATGGAAGGGAACGAAAAGTGAAAATGAAAATCGAATCCAGTGAGGATATCTTAGAGCTGATTGAAGAACAAAAAACTCCCAACATTTACGTGGAGTTGGAGAAGCGAGTAAATGTAGGTGTTCCGGGGACGGCGCAACAAAGCTTCACGCAAATGATGGCGTCCCAAGGTGTATTTCCGAGTTCTTTTGGTGTTGGTAGTTCTGCATTTTCCCACGAGACCCCATATTCACATCAAGCAGGCCCTAGTTCATTTACACATACTGGATATCCTCGGGGCTCTAATGATCAAACCGCGGGTTGTTCGAACCAACCAGGTCATTCTCGTGACGATGACAATAATGATGACCAAACCAACACGAACAATGGTGGCTCAGGCGACGAAGACAAAGAGGTACATGAGAAGCAAATGTTCAAGCTTTTCAGGGTGTGGTATAGCGAGCATATTGAAGAGCTAAGATTAATCACCGACCATATTGAGCTTGAAAGTCTTGCATATATGAATCGAGGTAGCACCCGGCAATCCGACGTTGAGCCACGAATGTGGTCCCTTCCTATGCCGCCCACGACAACTGGATCAGATAGACAACCCATCCACTTACCCTCGAACAATATAGAATTATCTTTGGGGTTTGTCTTTCTTTCGAAAGAAGAGTTTATTTGTTCCATTCAACTGTATCACTTGCAACAAAAAGTTGAGTGTCGAACACCCAAATCCTGCACTTCTAGGTTACAATCTGTTTGTCGGTATGAAGGGTGTTCTTACAAGTTATGTGCAAGGGCAAAGCGAGATGTATGGAGAATCACTACTTTGAAACTCGAGCATACATGCGAAGGGAGTTTGACGCACAATCGACACCGTTCGACTAATTCCAAGGTTGATATAGCCCTATTATCATAGCCCAGTTCAGGCGTTAGTTACCCGACTCGACAGACGCTGCCAAGGATATCGTCAAGACGATACCTTCCTAAGTCGACATGACTTGTCAGTCATAAAGAAGATCGCCACCGGCTTAGGGACGATCAAGAGACGACTTTAGGAAGTCGACTTGGTGTAAGTCGACTTACGCGCTAGAAGGCGAATAAACATTCAGAGAGCCTCGGATATACTAACAGGACCATAAGTCGGCTCGACAAAGCTCCAACTCGACTTAGAGTACCTCTGACGACTCGAATTTATCTCCGTATCATAGCAAGGCTTCCTGAGCTAGAGAATCTATACGAGATGAGAAGGAATCTAGGTGCTGACTCAGAGAGTGGGCGAAATGTGAACCGACTAGGGCATTTTGGACACTTCAGGCAAGTCGGCCAGGGCATTTCAGGTATTTCTAGTGAGCATTTCTACCCCTATATAAAGGAGTAGAGGTGACTCCGAACCCTAATTATTATTCTCCTCATTCATTATTCAGCTGTTGCTCCTACTGAGCAGAGCTCCTCCTCT